CCAGACTTCACAAAAACTGACAGGCGTTCAAAGAGGACTAAGGTCAAGTGGGGACCAGCGTTGAAGAAATCTGTTATTACTATTCAATGATACCCCAAGGCCTGGGAGGAACTTGAGTTTGACTTTTCCATATTTCTAAAGGAATACATAGTTTTGCATTTGGTAGACGGGATGCATGTGCCTAAAGGAATACATATGTGGTGTTGTTGGCTATGCATTGGACTGCCACCAGTCCATTTGCACGGGACAAGTAAAGACTTATCATCTCAGAAACTCAAAGGGGCAGTTCCACTCTGTTCTGGAAGCTGCCATGAGTCTGAATCTACTCCATGACCGTTTTTGTTTGTTTGTTTGTTTGTTTGTTTTTAAGGAATATGCAGTGGACCCTTTTACATAATATGCATATCACTAAAAGCCTTTGTGTCCCTCATGCAAATTAGGAATGATGTCTAGGAGTTTGCTTCCAGTTGATATTCTAAGTTTGGAATCTTAGCTTTGGATCATCCTGACTCAGAAAGGGGACATTCACTCACCATATGCCGTGTTTGTTTTCTGGAATTAGTCAATGAATCCACAAAGACACTGGTGCCTGCTACAGGCCTAACCGAGGGGGGATACAAAGAAGCAGAAGACGTCATGGTGATGTGTCTGTGTTACGCCTCAGTGTTTCAAAGTCAGCACCTGGGTCTCTTTAAATCCCCCAAACAACCCGCCAAGGAAGCAGTCATCACCATCCTCTGCTTCAGATGAGGAGACAGAAGCTCTGAGAGGTTGAGGGACTTACCCAAAGTCTCACAGCTGCAAAGAGAGTGATGGCAAACCTGGGGCCTGGATTTCAAAGGGCGTTCTTTGATCCAGTCTGTCCTAAGGGTGGGAGGAGCAGGTAAGTAGACAAAACAAAAACATAACCACACGTAGGCACAGAGGGCCGAGCTGTACAGAGGCCTGAAGCAGGAGAGAGACCACAGGCAAAGATGGTTGGAGGCTCACAGACCAAGGCCTTTCTATGTGGGAGGATAATGGTCAGAACGAACGCTCTGAGCATTCAGAACCGGCGGCCGGGCTCTGTGCTAAGTGGCTCAGGTGCATGATTTCATTTCAGCCGCCCAGCAATCCTGTGATGTCGGCCTGATCATCACCCCCATTTTGCAGATGAGAAAACGGAGGCTCAGAGAAGTTAAGGAAAGCTCAAGATGGCGCGTCCTGTGAGAGGAAGTGTTCAAGTTTGAACCCAGGGCACAGTAATGCTGCAGGTGTGGCCTGGCTCCAGGGATGGCCAGAGGATGAGAAAGCAAGGCTCCATCCATCGCAGCCGTGGGGGGGCTGGGGCCATTCCTCCCCAGAGCACTGCGGGAGGAGGCCTGACTGGCTCCAGCCTGGCCCCGGTCCTCTCGTCTCAGGCGTGCAGTTTGCTGCTTGAGAGAACACAACTTCCAAGCCAGGAGGAATCAATCTCTCCTAAGCTCAGGAAACACATTCCTACAGCAAGAAGAGTTGCTGCTTAGCTATCTCCCAGGGACCTGGGGGCTCTTTTGCCTCTCTCTCTCTCTCTGTCAGTCTTTCCTTTTTCTCCTCTGCCCCCTCCCTCCTCCTCCCCTTCTCCCTTGCCCCGTCCCTACCCAACATGTTCACATTTTCGGGCTGGGCACGAGGAGATTCTTTGTCCTTTCAGAACATACTTCTTTGCCCAGCAACAGCAAAGGACTGGGAATGACCAGTTCTGGGAACCACTGAGGCAAGCATGCCTCCTTGTGGGGAAAACTCTCACTTGTCCTTCAAGATTTGGCTCCAGGAACCAGGGGCGGAGGTGGGGAGGTAGAGGAGGGATGCACTCCTGTCTTGCCTGAGAATGTGTCTCAGAAGCAAGGTCTTGTGGGGCTTATCTTTCATCTCCGTAGGTTGTCAAATCCTGGGCCTCGAAGATGCCAGCGGAGAGCTCTTTGCCCAGCTGGCAGTTCTTCGTTTGTAGAAACCACTGCAACAATCGTGAGGTTCTCTCATCCCAGGCCCTCTCAAACTCTTCTGCCACCAGCCTGCATTCACACCCATATCCTTCTGCTTAGCACCTGGATGGCTTTGGGAAGATCTGGGATGCTTCTATACCTCACTCTACTTCCACCATCTGTGTCATCACCAGTATTGTAAAAAATCATCCCTTCTCCATCGTACTTTCACTCGATGAAATGTGTCTCGACATCGCATGGATGTGTTTAGAAAAGAGTCAAAAGTTGTTTTCAATGTCAGTGTCAATATCTGAGAGTAACTACGATTGCGAGTTGTGATTTACCACTGACTACAATCTGGATATAATGAAGGTAGTTAAAAGCTCAGGGATCATTTTGATACTCTGATTTTAATATTGGAGTAACAGTCTGTGTTTATTACATGCTTATGTGTCTGGTATTTCTTCGTTATTTAATCAATGGGACCAAATAAAAGCAGAACAGCCTGGGAAGATAGCTTAGCAATCATATAATATCAAAAGGATCAAGATTGCTGGGTCCAGCCCCTGCCATCATGTGACCTGGGCAATGCCGTTTCTCTTTGTGGGCCTAAACCATTTTCCTCCCTTAAAAAGAACAGGTGGACTAACGAGCCCCACGCTCCTGTCCAACTCGACAATTCCGTGATTTTATTAACATTTAATGCTCTAGGCCAATCCAAGTCTCTTATAAGGAAGCTACACTATCTGCTTCTCTGACAGAGAATGGCTCCTTTGTAGAATCTAAATAAGACATACAACTTACTAGATTGTTACTTAAATCCAGGGGACTTTGAATTTCCTGTCTTAAACCCAGTTAGGCATTCTCAGTTTTAGTGATCATATTAATCATCAACCTCATAACATTAGTTTTGCTAGCAGTTGCCACTCAAGGAAAAGAATAATTTTTCATTCAGTGTTTTAATGATTGGTGCTGCTAATTTGCATGTTTTTAGAGGGCATAATTGTCAACACATGCTGTCAGAATTTATGGCATTTGGGGGCGGGGGGGTGTTGTTTTTTACCTTAGATTTCCCTCTTTCAAAAAGTAACCTGTAATCTGAGATACAGCTGTGACTCAAAGCAGATATAATTCTACTGAAGTTGTGCCAAAGCCTTCTGTAGAGCGGGCCAGGAGAGGTGTCGCCCTGTCTTTTTAGTAGAACCAGATGTCACTAGATTGTCTTCTAGGGTAAGAATTGTCTCCAAATATTTATTTTGCCAATTTCAAGTCATGAATTTCAAACATTTTTCCCTGTCTTAATAATCCTGAGATATTTTCCGTTAAAAAAAAACACACAAAAAAGTGAACTTGTATCTATGTTATTGTAACAGTTTAAGGCTTTAAAACACATATATATATTTACATTCTTAGAGGTATTTTATTTTTTTGCTAACATCTGATCCTTTTTGGTTACCACACACATAAATACAAAACAAGTCCCCTCAGGGAGACAGACAACAAAAAAGTAGGTGAAGTGTACGACATGAAAAAAATTTTTTTTGAATTATCAAGGGTTCCTGAGGGCAGGAGGGGGGAAAAATGAGCTGATATCTGGGGCTCCAGTAGAAAGAAAATGTTTTGAAAATGATGATGGCAACATATGTACAAATGTGCTTGACATAATCATGGATATATGGATTGTGATAAGAGCTGTCTGAGCCACCAATAAAATGGTTAAAAAGCAAATGAAAACAAAACAAACCCAGCCCCAGGGAACTCTGCCTCACACCTTGCACTGTGGGGTCCATCAGTTCTAACTTCTTTTTTTTCTCTTCCCTCCCCGCCCCTCTTTGTTTTTATCAGATGTTTTGGTCCTCAATAGGTGTGCTGTGTGCAAGAATGTGTCTGAGTCTTCTGGCAAAAAAAGAAAGAAAAAAAAGTAAGAAAAAAAAGTCAGTTGCCACGAACTTGATTCCAAGTCAGAGTAGGATGATACTTCACGGTGTTTTCAAAGGACAGTTTTGGGGGGAGTAGATCGCCAGCCCATTCATGGTGAACTTGATCTTTACTCTCTGGGTTAGCAGTGGAGAGTGGGACTGTTTGCATCAGGATGTTCCCCGGGGACGGAGTGCCAGGGAGCGCAGTGGCGATCACATCTCGGCGGTAGAAACAGCAGTGTATCCCAGACCCCAAAGGAGATCGAAATTGATGCTGACCGCCCCCCCTCCCCGAAAAGGTGGAGCGACCTAAGGAGAGTGTGGAAGAGAAAGAAGGACTCCCCGCACAGCCACTGCGCCTCCTGTTGCCAATGGCAACAGAGAGGCAGAACAGATGGAAGATGAGACGCCTGCAGCGGATGGCAAGCTCAGTCCTCCTTCTGGTGTCGGCTTTGAGAGGAGGCCGGTGGGCTTAGGCAGTGCTGGACCCTCCTTCCATTTGACCTCCGCACCTGTCACTCCTCACAAGGCCTTGCCCCTTCCCCGCTGCGACCCCAGAGCCACTAGCCCCTCCCCTGGATGCCCAGACTTGTGTTTCTGCTGGGGGAGACGGTGAGGACCCCAGGATTCAGGGTTTCTGACCCAAAGGGCCCTTGCTAGTTACTGGGGTTTAGTTTGTGGCCCTGTGTGTTCCCCTCTCTCAGCTGTGTCCCTGGTAGTCAATACCATTTCTTAGCCTCCTAGAAAAAAGTTAAAAAAAAAAAAAAAAAGGAATTCCTTCGCAAAATCAACTCAAATAAAAAAACTCACAGCCTTCCAGCCATTCAGACTCAGAGCGAGCTTCTAAACAGAGTCAGACCCTGACAAGCGTTTGGATGGTGGAAGACGCCATGGAAGGTTCCCGAGTACTGCCACCATCTATCTCCACCTACCCTTGCAGGACGCCGCCGACCCAGACCCGGGCCCAGGATTTCTGAGCCGAGCGCGCCACCTCCTGGCACATCACTCACAGGTGCGTCTGCGCTGTGGTTTCCTCCATGGGACACTTGGTGCCAAGGGCACTCGCTGGCAGCGCCATCGCGTACCTCCTGTAAGTCCCGGGTGCGGCATCCAGCATCGTGGCCCGTAAAGACATTGGCAATCTCAGACTCACATGACTTTATTACAAAAAAGTAGGCTGGGGCCGGCCTGTTTGCCCTTGCTAGAACCTGACGCCCTAGGCGATTCGCCCACCGGACATCTGGAGGATTCCGTAGTCGGGACCCCTTCTGGGGGCAGCAGAAAGGGAGCCCGCTGAGAGAGGAGGTCCCCGAAGGCCAGAGGGGCAAAGGCACCCCGGTCACTTGTGGGCCAACTTCTCAGTCAGTGCCACCGCTTGACGACAATCACTGGATTGTGTCACAGGCGCCAGGCTCTCATCTGGGTTAGGGAATTCCATCCTCTTGCCAGGTATGAGGTAGGCGCTCTGCCCGTCGCTGCCTGTTTGAAAAGAGAGGCCGCGGGCACCGAGAGGCGACGGAGCCGGGCAGGGAAGGCTGGAGCTGAGATGCAGGTGCTGGCGGGCGGGCGTCCGAGCAAATGCTGGTTTCCACCAGCACCTCCCCTCGCGTTTCCCCCTCTGCGCAAGGGGGATCCAGATCCCACCCTGATTTTCCGGGGTCCGCAGGGCTCTGTGCGGCCAGGCCTGCTCAAGCCTCCTGGTCTGCCCAACGGTGGCGAAGGACCGCTGTCCCCTGGGAGCCCTCGAAGGCCCTGCGGCGTCTCCTCTGGGCCGCAGCCTAGGGCTGGAGTTCATACTGCTGCTCGGTGGCCATGTCGAAGTCCTCCAGCACCGACTGCAGGAACTCGAAGGTGGGCCGCTCCTCCGGCCGGCTGCGCCAGCACTCGGTGATGACGCTGTTGTACAGCTCAGACGGGCACGAGTCCGGGCGCGGCATGCGGTAGCCTCGGCCCAGGCTGTGGATGACCTCGGGGTTGCTCATGCCTGGGCAAGAGGGAGAGAGAGGGGATTGCAAGTTAGCAATTGCGAGTTAGCATGAGTCAGAATGGCCTTGTTGTGTGGCACGGGACTAAGTAAGAGGGAGGAGCAGGCCCGATTAAAAAGGTACAAACCACCTTGCAAGTGGCCTCTCTGCTCAGCTGGCTATATCTTTTAAAACATCCATCCATCCATCCATCCATCCATCCATCCATCCATCCACCCATCCACCCATCCATCCCTCCATCCATCCATCCATCCACCCATCCATCCATCCATCCATCAATCCACGTACCCACGCATCCATCCATCCATCCATCCATCCATCCATCCATCCATCCATCCATCCACCCATCCA